AGAAGAAGAAGAAGAAGAAGAAGAAGAAGAAGAAGAAGAAGAAGAAGAAGAAGAAGAAAGATGAAGAAGAAGAAGAAAGAAGAAGAAGAAGAAGAAGAAGAAGAAGAAGAAGAAGAAGAAGAAGAAGAAGAAAGATGAAAGAAGAAGACGACGAGGAAGAAGAAGAAGAAAAAGAAGAAGCAGGATGAGGTCCTGGATGAGGATCACATTGCTGCTGACCCGAGGGAGGGCATATATGTGGGCACCAACAAGGCCCCGTCATCCTGGACCTTGTCCAGGATAGGTTGGATGTCTATCCTTGTTGCCTTTGACAACCATCTGCCTAATTTGGACCAGTTTGTGGCCCTTCTTGCCACTTCCTCGGGGTCATACTCCCCATCCAACATGAGTCCCTCATGCAGAGTGACATCATTCAGGGTCTCCCACTTAAGTCGCTTAAGGTTCACAAAGCCCTTTTTCTGCTCTGACAATCGAAGAAGCTTCATGTTCCAGTGAATGAGCACAAGCTTCTGGATGGTGTCCGGTGCCAAGAGATTGCTTCTCTTGGCGTGCACGACGTTGACGGTGGACCAGTTCCTCTCACATGGGGACGCAGTGGTCCAGATGCCCAAAACCTTGTTATCAATGCCCTGCAAGTTTTTGTGTATGTTCCCGTAGGTCATCCACCATTGTGCCATTAAGATTCTTTTGTTGGTTATGTAATCTTCCGAGTGCTGCCCCCTCCACCCGGGGTCCCACTATTGTGTCATTGAGATTCGTTTGTTGGCTCTGTAATTGTGGCATACTGCGTAGCCACACGGGCCTGCAGGGCCCGTCCCGCATTCTCAGCCTAAAAGCCTAGAAATAAGGGCTTACAGGCCCCATGTCATTTCAGCCTGAAAACTGAAAACGAGGGCCTGCAGGCCCTATTTCGTTTTCAGCCTAAAACAGGGTTTTTCAGCCCTGAGTCTTTTCAGCCTGAAACGGAGGGCCACTTTCGGGCCCTCATAACATCGTCCTACCCTAGAACTCAGGCAACAAACCAGGGTTTTGGGAACAGGCTATTTTTGGCCTGTTCCCCACGCCAGCCTCAGCAGGAGCTGCAGCGCCATCCCCTGGCTTGCCCTGGCATTGGCAAGAGCAGCCTCCTGGACTGCCTCGCCCTGCAGTCAGGAGGCAGGCCGAGTAGTACATAGGGAGTTCCCATGCACTTCACGGGTAAGTAGTTGGACAGAAGGCAGGAGGCAGTCTTCAGGATTCGGCAGCAGCACTCAGGAGGAGCGCTGCAGGAGTAGCTTAGCGCTAGTAGTAGTCTTCAGCGCTGGGCGCTAGTAGCAGTAGCAGTAGTCTTCAGCGCTGGGCGCTAGTAGGTGGTAGTGGTAGTGTTTGGGAGAGATGGCTGGCGGAGGCCAGTGAGACTTACCTGTGGCGCCATAGCTCCAGCTCCATCTTC